TATGCACACTACCTCAAAAACACCCTACGAATATATTTGTGTGATCAAATCACCAATATAACATCATGAACATCGAATTAAGCCTCGAGATCAATGAGATTTCTCACAATTCCTATTAAACATCAATTTCCCATTTAGGGTCCGGATCCCGTCAAACGACGTCCGTTTTTAACCAAACTTTACAGAAACATCTTAAATCACATATAAGACCTGTACTGGGCGCCGGAACCAAAATACGGGCCCGATACCAACACGTTCTAATCAATTTTCATTTCAATTTTTCCTTAATAATTTCAGAAAAACAATTTTACCCAAAAATTTATTTCCGGGCTTGGGACCTCGGAATTCGATTCCGGGCATACGCCCAAGTCCCATATTTTCCTATGGACCCTCCGGGACCGTCAAATCACGGGTCCGGGTCCGTTTACCCAAAATGTTGATCGAAGTCAAATTTGCTCATTTTAATATCAAAAATTTACATATTTCACAGAATTTCATATTTAAGCTTTTCGGCTACGCGCCCGGACTGCGCACGCAAAACGAGGCGACTATAAATGAGGTTTTCAAGGCCTCAGAAGCACAGAATGGGTAAGAAAACAGGTCATGACCCTTTGGGTCGTCACAGTAGCACTGTCAAAACTAGCATCAATATTTAGCTTAAACCATCCTTTTGGTGGCTTTTGCCATCCAATTTTGATGGAGTTTTTTTGAGGAGTATACATACTTTTCTCAATTAGGAGCTTGTATTCAGTTGCCTTTTGAATAATAAAATCACCATTGATAGGAATAGTCGTGTTGTTTTGATTGTTACTGTTCCTATTGAGCCAAATGTACCATATAACAAATGAGTCCCAATTTATAAAATTATTTCTAATTGGGTAGTTAAATGATTTTAGCTGAATAAGCCAGTGGTCACCTTGGGACTTATAGTAATGTTGCCACCCAAGATTGTCCCAAAATTTTTTAGAGGCTTTGCAATTAAAGAAGATGTGTGCTACTGATTCCTCCTCATTATTCTTGCATATAGGGCAAATTGGGTTGATATTTAAGCCAATCTTGGCTAGATATTGCCTACAGGGTATCCTATTATGGAGACATTGCCATATGAAGAATTTGACTTTATTGGGACAATCTAGGTTCCAAACCCATTTGAAATCTACTAAGTTGCTTTTCGGAGGCTCTATTAGGTTGTAGCAAGTTTTGGTAGTAAAAAAACCTTTTGTAGTTAGTGACCATATTTTCAATTGCCTAAAAGGAGTTATCCTTAAGATTTATATGGGGAAAAATAACAGTATAAGAATTATTCCTTCATTGGTCTGATTAAATACAATAATACATTACATTACTTCTGTAGGACAAATAGAATTCTCCTTTACATTACTATTGCACGTTTTCATTAAATAGAATAAAATAACTCAATTAAAAGTTTAATTTATTGGTCATTAGAAAGAAATCAAATTATGTTTGGCGTTTAAAAGTAATAGGTTTGTCTTCCTTTGTTCCCACTCTTCCTATAATTATGTGATTTGTCTTCAGAACTTGTATGATTGCAAGTAATAACATTTACTATTTGTTACTCTTCACTAATAATTTCAATGTTCTTTTTTCTTTTCTTTGCTTCAAAAAAAAGAAGAAAAGAGAAACAATTTTCTAGTACATTTCATCAAATTTAAAACAATTTCAATTCGTTCAAACTCAAATCAAATTTACTTTCCATTTCAACCTATAAATTTCTCCAAAAAAAATAAAAAATAAAAAGTCTTTAACTTCGAGAGGCTGCGGAACCATTAGGAAAAATCTCACATTATTGAATTCTTATCATGCGAATCCATTTATTCAGCCAAAAGCTTAACTCTTTAAATTCCTTTCAAGTATTTGAATGCGCACATGAGCGCTCGGTATCAGCTGTGCATCGACGGCTTGTGATTTCCATGGGTGAGGTGTGAGATGTGATTTTTAGCATGTTGATAATGGGCCGAGTCTGGTAGGACTTGAGGCCGGGTTTTGGTCTATGGCTTGAGTGCCGAGATTTCGTAAATGTGTGAGCATGAGCATTTGGGACTTATATGTCCGTTTGTGTCCTTATTGGTGGGATTGTGTGGCTGGATGACTATGTGGTGTGTGTGATTTGATGGTGAGATGTGTTCAGATTGTTTGACTGTGACAAAAAGAATTGGCTGGAGGTGTAGCACGAACTATTAAGTGTTTGACTTCTGTCTTAAGTTGGCATATGGCCTCGAGTTGTGAGTGTATTGAAGAACCTCTTATGTAGTTTAGTTGAGGAGTGNACTGAGAGGAATTTTATGTGTAATAATACAACAATTGTCTAAATGCCGAAAAATATATTACATTAGCATAATACTTGAATTTAAAATAAAAGAACATCATCAAAACTTACACAAATGGTCAATTTTGTCATGTTAGTTTGATAATTATGTATTATAGTTTAAAAGTATTTGATGTGATGGTATCTTAACGAAGCACGTTGACCAGTATCATAGTTTTTGCACGTATGACGTATTGTCAAAACTTCTATATACCATATATGTGCTATTACATAAGCTATTCGGCGTATCTAAGTTTTTCAGTAGCATGACGGTCATATTTTCTTCAAAATCATCCTATATACGATGAAAGATCAATTTTAACTTAGTCTATTATATAAACAGTGACACTAAAATACATAAGAAATAATAAACTTGACAACAAACATGTATGGTAGAAGACCAATTGACTAAAGTATTTAAGTATTCTTCTTGGTAGAAATTATTGGGTCAAACAGAAAAATATTTTGTTTTTACTATAAAATTTTGCAATCAACCTTTCATTTAGTTTATCAACACATTCATTTCTTCTAGCTAAGATATCTTTTTAATTCTATCATGCGATTTGCACAAATTGTGTTTTAATCTAATGATAGAAATATTTCTCTTATTAAATGCACTACTATTGGAATTGATAACTAAGTGTTCAAGAAGAACCAAATCATTTTTTTATTGGATGCTCTTTTTCGTTTCTGACATGAAGCAAGAAGACACTTAATACTCGATCTGTTCTTACTTTATATTTCTTGTCGGTTGAATCTTTTTCATTTGACCGCAGAAGTATAACTTTGGCAAGCTAGCTTTTAGAGTCTCTGCTTTTGTCGATTCTGGAAGTACTGGTAGTACTTGACATAAATCACATCCCAAACCATTAATTTTTTACCAAACGGTTCATTAATATCCAATATATCTCTAGAACTCCAAACAATTATTTCGATCATTTGCCACTTAGCCATAAGTGCTTCATCCCATGTTATCAATTTTGCTTTCCTTATAAATTTAGCACCATTACTCTGCTTTGATATATTTGTGATGGTTATTTAAATTGTTTGAAGAGGTATATCAAATCTAAAGTGGGCGGCCTCACAATAAAATCATTGTTGGTACACCACTTGCTATTATTGTCAATAGTGTCATGCCTCTTGATATGATATTTGCAAGTAATGCATGACATAAGAATATTATTTCGATTCTGCCGGAGGCATCTACAAAGAATATTCTCGTTATAGCAGAGTCGACTCTTTATAATATAGTCTTAAAAGCTTGTTCTTGTTTAGGATTTAGCTTTGATTGTGCTTCCTCGGACACTTGTATAACACTTTGATTCTTAATAATATACTAACCTTTTTACTTTGTGTTCTAACACTCTTTTTAAGGAATAAAATTATGTATCCTAAGTTTTTATTAACTTGAATAAGAATTTTACTCATATGATGAATTTAAAAAATAATTAAATTGGATTCTCTTGCTAAATAATTAATTAAAAGATTTAATTATTTGATTTTAACATAAAAAATAATTTATTCTATGTTGATTCAGATCTTAATATTAGTTCATCTCTTGTTTTGAGTATTTAATCTTAATTATAATTTTATTCACCTTTAATTTTACTTTCAAAGAGTAAAAGATTGATATGACATTTCACTTTTAGATCTTTATGTTTGTTGAATCATTAATGGTATTGACTCTTACCAATCATTTTTTTCTCTTTCTCACACATTTATATTCTTAAATATTTTCTTAGTTGTTGTTTAATGATTGGGTGTTTTACAATATTACACGAAAAATTGATTAAAAAATATTATTTCAGTAGGAAAATAGTTCAAATAAATATAAAAATATATTATTGTGGGGGTATTTTTTTTAATTTCAACTCTTTATGCAGTCCATTTAATATTACTTTTATTTTTTTTGGTATTGGACATTATGGAGTGGTAATGCATTGTCAATACGGAGGATTCTTATGAAATTGGATTTAACCTTCCTACATATTTTAACAAGAATTTGATTGATAAAATTTTATTAATTTTAAAATATTAGATATTAAAAATTAGCATAGAAGGTATTGTAGTCCAAAAACAAGTTATTGCACTTATGCCCTCTTCCTATGAGTTCTTCCGTTTAATGATTTAGGGCTATTTTGGTATATTAATATTGTATTTATGCTTTTATAATAATATATGCTCTCATTTTTTTAAATAAATTTGGACAATATGATACATTCTCAAATTAAATTAGTAATATGAATTTTTAAGAAGTATATCTTGAAAGCAATAGGATTACATGACAAAAGATATTACTTGTTCAATTTCATATGAATTAGCCGGCCCGAAAGTTTATACTAATAAGATTCCTAAAGGTAATCATGTAGGATACCTGACTTGTAGTATTATGTCCTAAAACTAATAGGATTATAAGGCTAATATCTAGAATTTCGGTTATGTCCTTTTATTATGAGTTATTATGCTTAATATTATAAGGTTATTTTTGTAAATCGATATTTTATTCATGCTTTTATAATAATATAAATATAGATTTTTTTTTAACATTCTTTTTAAAAAAAAATCTTTTAAGGATATTTTAATTATTTAAAAAAAATACTAATAAAATATTTATTGAAAATCAGAATTCAAACGGACTCTAATAACAATTGCCATTAACTTTGTAATCTTAGTAGTAGCCCAAACAAAGTATTGTAGAGAGAGAGAGAGAGAGAGAGAGAGAGATGAGAGGAAAAGGGAGAAAGCAAATATTGGTGGGACTTGGTCTTGTTATGATTATGGGTTTAGCTGTTTACTTAAGGCTTTGGACTATTGACTACCGTTTCTCTGCTAATGAAACTGAATTACTTAGGTACTCTTCTTCTTTCTTGCTTAAATCTTCTTTATGTACCTTAAAATTGGAAATAGATTTTCACTTTGTTTTGTTGCTGAGGAAAATTGGGTAATGTTCAAGAAACAGAAAGGATTAATTGGGTAGGTTGGTTAGTCTTAACTCTTAATCAAGAATATTAAAAAGCACCAACCTTTATTTTTGTATCTATCATAGGAATGTGGGTTTCTTGTTTCTATTCAATTTTGGTCTTGCTTGAATGACCAGCAAAAGGAAAACCAATTTGGTCTGGATTACCAATTGAGGTAGGAAATGAAGATATCAGAAACTTAATAACTTTCCCTTTGCTTTTGCACTATCTTCTTGATTCTGGTTATATTTCTGAATTTATATTTGTTTCTGAGCAGAACAGATGTGTTTTTGTGTACACCACTTAGTGTCATTTGAATACAATGAAGGGAATTGAGGAAAATGTTTAATGTAAAATCTAGGAGTAAATGGCCTTATAGGTTATTAATTTTTAGCTTTTCTTTGTGTGTCACCCTTATGAGGTTGTGAATTGGAATATAATATGCTAAAAGCATTTCCAGTAGAAACTAGGTCTAATTGTTCGGGTATATGCTTATCAAAACTACCCTATAATCCAAACCCAAGGCTAGTCTCCTACTAAAGCATTTGCGATGGGGTTTAGAACGGGAACTGACCGAAAACCCGAACCGCTCGACTGACCCCTTCATAGTCCACTCATGAAGGTTGGGATGGCTGGAACAAATCAGAAGTGCAAGTCGCGCAAGCGAAGCCGGGAAACGGATCGCAGCACGACGACTAGGACTCGTGAGGAGTTTTGAGCGTGAGCTAACACTCATGCAGCGGAAAGGATCCACAGCTCTCGAAGGAGCCACCAACTGCCTGAATCACTGTAGCAAACCCTCTCTTTACTCAATGGATTGCAGAGGCAAAACCACTTCCAAGTTAAGTTGTGATTGAACAACAATAACCACTAAGCATCAATCCCAAACAAGTCAGGGTCGACTATATGAATCCTCAGTCCTCATTGACCATGTACCCCGTTTAAAATCATCTCAAACTAACATTTTACTAAATAAAAATGAAAAGTATTAGAGGTTCTCTATATTTCCTACTGGCACAAGAGACTAGATTGAAATGAATAAGATTTTTCTTTTTAACGATTAAGATTCTTAGTCATTTGATGGCATCAAACATATGATCATTTTTAGTTTAAAAATCGAACTTTCTCATTAAGATAGAATATTGGTGCCATGTAGTGCTTAGCCAAGTATTCTGTTCCTGTTTTCTTGTAGGAGACAGTTTGATCTTGCCAGTAGAGAAGCAATGGACGAATCTGCAGTGTGGAGGAAAAGATATGATGACGAGGAAGTGAAATCTACCAGCTGCCAAAAGGAACTGATTAAGGTATGGCATCTTATATTCAGAATCAATAATACTTTGGTGAGAAATTCACCAATATACATTTGATATAAGGATTTAATATATCTTGCGAAGCCCTTGAATTGCTGTTATACTGTTTTCTGCAACATGATTTCCTCTCTATTGACAATCAATGATGGCATGCGCAATGTAACACCTTATTTCCTTATTAACTATGTGATGTATCACCTATTCACCTTAATCAAGAATGTGATATCAATTAGGCAATCACATATTTAACAAAATAAACAAACAAACAAATAAATAAAAAGAAATACTCACCTTTTCTAGTATGATGCATCGGCCTAAAAAAATGATTGTACCTATGACACTATATCTAAGCAGATTTTGTCTATCCCATAGGACATACATTTCGATGGTAATGGCCTCCTCCTCTCTCTGAAGCATGAGTTCTCTCTTGGTAAATGAATTTCGTAAGTTCGGGGTCAATAAATATAGAAGAAGTGATTTCTCTGTCTAGTTTAAGTCTGAGAAAATTAGTGATTTGTTGGCCTCTCTATGTGATTTAACTTCAGCTATATATTGATCTCTACTGAAATTTCACCTGTAGATGCAGTATGCTGTGTTGTCGCTGAGCTGTTTGTTATTCTCTATTGCTTTATTAGAACAGATTTGATAGAAAAAATGTCCCTCCATTTGTAGTAACCAGGTATACAGGCTTGTGCATTTCCTTTACTGCTTCAGCCATGTGCAGCTTTTCTTGTCATGCATTTCTTTATTAGGTCTTTAGTTGATGGCCCCCAGTTTTGGGACTGAGATCCTTTTTCATTTTCAACCATTAGTTTTCATATTTTGCTAAATGAATTTGCACATCAAATTGCGCTTTTTGATAAATTTTCTATGATGGTCTCAAACAACCATCCACCAGCGCCAGTCCAACAAATAAAACGATAAATGAAGAGAAAAGAAAAAGAGAACAGTGGAGCTTTCATTTGTTTCTGTTCTTAGAAGAAAGGAACCTCTGCTTCCCCTCCCGATGCCGGGGTCTGTGAAGCCAAAAGAACAACAAACCAAAGGAAAAGATTTGAGTCAATATTTGTCTCATTCTGATTTACCTTGGTTGATTATCAAGGAGCATAAGAGTAAAGAGGTGTCAGCTCAAATTTGATCTAATGGAAAAGAGTACTATTTTATATTAATTTGAATAGTGGAGGAATAAGAACTTGCTATATTTACGAATGAGGTTAACAGTTTCGGGTGCACTCTGGTCTCCATATTGACTATTTTATTTTATTCTCAAATGCAAAACTAAATCATTCAACTAAGTGAGAAGACGAAATAGAATAGTTCAATTTAAAAGGAATTTGTGCCAAATGTTGAGTTGCTCTTCATTATCTTGTTCTCTGAACCCCTCTTTTCTTCCATTTTGATATGTGTAAAGAGCTTAAAGTCACATGAGCACTGCTATGTATTTAACTGTTTTGCGGACTCTTCAAAATCCTTGGCGTACCCGTGTCGACACGACGTGGTGTGGGTGTGGATTTGGTTAACTTACCTTGGGTGTTTTGACTACATCTATGCCCGAGAAGTATAGGTTGATTGAGTATTTGACTTGATTTTATGGGTTTATGCCATACATATACATGGTTATGTAAAGTATGAGCATGATTTGCTATTATACGAGATATTATTTGAATAAAATATGAGGTGTTTATACGAATTAAATTTTATTAGTTTTAGTTCAATAATTTAATTAATCGAATATATACTTATATATGTTGTAATATACATTTACTGGACGTATCCCAGCACTCGGATCCACACCCACGAACAGAGGCGAATCCAGGATTTGAAGTTTGTGGGTTCCTACGGTTTTCTCAAATTAACATGCAATAATAACTGAGTTCACAATAAGATATTTATATGTATTTAGTGGATTTTTTTAGAAAAATATAGGGTTTACGCAAAAGTTACTGGGTTCCCGGGAACCCATATATAATGCTCTAAATCCGCCCACTGCCCACGAATCCTACAATATGTGTGATGAAGAATCCGACCTCTAGATCCCGCACCAAGACCGAGCAACATATAAATATCCGGTCACTGATGCATTGTTTATGTTGTTTGCTATTGGCTTGTCCATGTTATGCATTAAGACATAGAACATGTCAAACCTTTCATTTTGCATCATCTGATTATTGAGGCATGTTTCTCGCATTGATAGATATTACATTTGGGCTCCTGTTTGAAGTCAAAGATATGGAGTTCTTCCCATGCATGCTTTACTTACATAATGGGTTAACTGTTGCACCTCATTTGCTAGTTTGTTAACGTGTGGCCTTTTGTGTAAATTAAGCAGTTATTGAAGGAAGACGGTGCTGCTAGCAGCAAGAAGAAGTTGGACATGTTGCAAAAGGTGCGTGTTTGAGACAATTTTCTTGATGTCTCTCTTTCTATATCTTTGCTCTTTCTTCTTCTTCTTGTCGGCAAAGGCTTGCTGCTACACTTGGCTCCTCGCACATGAGAAATGTGAAGTTTTGGGGGTTGTGATCACCTTAATGCTTATTATCATTTTCACAGTTCACTTAATACATTGTCTATGATGTTTTATTTCACCAGGAAAACATTGACTTACTTGAACGACTCGAATCTTTGAAACAAGAGCTTGAATCTGAGAAGTTGAAATGTAGTATGAGACAGATATGACTTCACTGGAAGCCTGGTGGTCTGAAGAACATTCGGAAGTTGATTACTTGCCAAATTAATCTAACTGCAGGATTATCGTTCATGGGCAGTCCTTAACCAAATTCACCCGATTGGTTCAGAATTTTGCTAGATTATGCTTTCCGAGAGGCATGCCAGTGCGCATGTATTTGGATGTGAATTAGATACATTGGTTAAACGATGGGTTGCAGCTTCCATCCAAGTTTTGGCCTCCCTAGATTAGGTTATGGTCCATTTGAAGGGACTGAATACTCTCTTTTGTTGATGATGATTGTTAGTTCTTGTGAAGTCCACACAAGCATTTTGTTAAATCTTGAGTTGTGTAGATTTGACCAAAAGAAATGCTTCCAGGAAGTGAAATTACTTTGTTCAATAGAATTATTAGTCAGTGCTTGTGAGGTGATTATTAGTTCTTTTACATTATAATGTGTATGAATCAATTTTTCGACACTGCCAAAAATTTGATAATTAGTTGAAAGCATTTGAAAAATTTGAGCCGAGGGTCTATTAGAAACAACCTCTCTATCCTCACAAGGTAGGAGTAAGGTCTGCGTACACACTACTCTCCCCAGACCTCACGGTGTGAGATAATACTGGTTATGTTGTTGTTGTTGTTGAAAGGTGGACTTAATTCCAATTTCCAGCTCTCTCATTGTTTCAGTAACTTCATTGATCAACCAAATGATCAAGCGTGCTAAAACTCTGATGGACTAACAAAACATCCTGTAAATTACATCCAGTGTTCATATCATCCATGTAATGCTAAGAGGTAGTACATTATGTGACTTGCATTATTTTGATTTTGCTAGTAACTAGTTATTATTTTTGTGGCAAATGAGACCCCTCTTTGGAATATAAAAAGTTGCATAAATTAGTTAGAGCTGAATTACCATAGGCCTGGAACAATATTGAGAATGAGGAAGTAGACAATATGCCAGTACCATTACCCTTGTATCACTTCCATATGAAAAACTGAGAACCACTGCAAGTTAAGCAGAAGCCTCCATTTCGAAACATATTGGCTTAATCTTAATGCCATGGTAAGTTACAATGTTGTAGAGATAAAACATTATGTTTAATTATAGACCTGGGTTCTGAAGTCTGAACTATCATATAAAATGATTAACAATCACGTGTGAACCAATAAAATCTGAAAACAGCCATACGTAAACACCTAATATAGATTCATGATTCCATAGACAACCAAGGAGTTCCAGAAATATGATCACAGCAAACAAAGATATGTACCACAGAAACCAAATTTATTCAGACGAAGCCAACAGCTAAAAACAACTGTCTGAACACAAAGCACGTAACCAATGCCATCAAAGGCATAGCACACATATATCAACAGCTTAAACACAAAGCACAACAAAAGCCAATAAAGGAAAGCACAGAAGTCTTCAAGATGCTTAAACGAAGGGAATTGTAGCAAATGCAACAGATGATAGCGAGCATGGAATTAACTTCTCAAAAGCCACCACGGAGACGAAGCACGAGGTGAAGGGTGGATTCTTTCTGGATGTTATAATCTGCAAGGGTACGACCATCCTCCAGCTGCTTACCAGCAAAAATCAGCCTTTGCTGATCTGGTGGAATACCCTCCTTGTCCTGAATCTTCGCTTTCACGTTATCAATAGTATCAGAGCTCTCCACCTCCAAAGTGATGGTCTTCCCAGTTAGAGTCTTGACAAATATTTGCATCCCTCCCCTCAAACGTAGCACCAAATGCAGTGTGGACTCTTTCTGGATATTATAATCAGCAAGAGTCCTCCCATCCTCAAGCTGCTTACCAGCAAAGATCAATCGCTGCTGATCTGGCGGAATCCCTTCTTTATCTTGGATCTTCGCCTTTACATTATCAATTGTATCAGAACTTTCAACCTCCAAGGTGATTGTCTTCCCTGTCAGTGTCTTCACAAAGATCTGCATACCACCCCTCAGCCGAAGAACAAGGTGGAGGGTGGACTCCTTTTGAATATTGTAGTCAGCAAGAGTCCGTCCATCCTCAAGCTGCTTTCCAGCAAAAATCAACCTCTGCTGGTCCGGAGGGATGCCTTCCTTATCCTGGATCTTCGCCTTAACATTGTCAATGGTGTCGGAGCTCTCAACTTCAAGGGTGATGGTCTTCCCAGTCAAAGTCTTAACGAAAATCTGCATCCCACCACGCAGACGGAGGACAAGGTGAAGGGTGGACTCCTTCTGGATGTTGTAGTCGGCAAGAGTGCGCCCATCCTCAAGCTGCTTTCCAGCAAAGATCAACCTCTGCTGATCTGGAGGGATGCCTTCTTTGTCCTGGATCTTCGCCTTAACATTGTCAATGGTGTCGGAGCTCTCAACCTCAAGGGTGATGGTCTTCCCAGTCAAAGTTTTCACAAAAATCTGCATGCCACCACGCAGACGGAGGACAAGGTGAAGGGTGGACTCTTTCTGAATATTGTAGTCGGCAAGAGTGCGCCCATCCTCAAGCTGCTTTCCAGCAAAAATCAACCTCTGCTGGTCTGGAGGGATGCCTTCCTTGTCCTGGATCTTCGACTTAACATTGTCAATGGTGTCGGAGCTCTCAACCTCAAGGGTGATGGTCTTCCCGGTCAATGTTTTTACAAAAATCTGCATCCCACCACGTAGACGGAGGACAAGGTGAAGGGTGGATTCCTTTTGGATGTTGTAGTCTGCAAGAGTGCGGCCATCCTCTAGCTGCTTTCCAGCAAAGATCAACCTCTGCTGATCGGGAGGAATTCCTTCCTTGTCCTGAATCTTAGCCTTGACATTATCAATAGTGTCGGAACTCTCAACCTCGAGAGTAATGGTTTTTCCGGTGAGTGTCTTTACAAAGATTTGCATCTGTAATCACACCAAATAAAGGGGGGCAATAGACATAACAGAAAACTTATCATATTTCACATTTTATTATACTAACAGAAGCAGAACCAAGATCAAGCATATACAAACATTGTGTATAATTCCCAGTAAGAACACTAAACGGGCTTGAGATTTTTTATTAAGTAACAGTATTCACATTAAAAAGGCAAATATGATATGCAAAACCAAGAGCTATCAGCAGAAGATAAAGATATACTTCACTCAGTACATCTGACCTATTTCAACCTGTGCGAAAATATACTAAAATTTAAGTACAATGCCAGATAAGATTAGTAACAGAATGGACTGCATTTCAAAGAATAAAGCTTTTCACTCTACAGTAATATGTTTAGATGCACATATACAAGGCTAATCTTCTGAATCACATGAAAAGTTTGAACTAATTCAATCACATTATAAAGAACAATGATCCAATATTGTCGTTCAGCCAACATACTTATATGCTGAAAGAATGCTTTGGTTCAATAGTCCAGGGCTCAACATCAAATACACCACAAAAGTAGTGATAACTTTTAAAAAAGACCCGCAACCTTGGATTTCCTAATCCATGTCATTATACTACATTTTAATCTGTTTCTTTTAATAGTAACCATTTCTTCTATTGCATTAGATAGCCATTTTCACTTCTTTTAATATGTACGTCTAAATTACTTATACTATCATAATATAAGGACCTAGAAATAAGTATGCTGCCACCACCCCTGCAACCTAAATGTTTTTCAACACCGAAGGTCATTGCACATTTTGTCAGCTTTGGCCAGAAAACAAATTGAAGAATTCACTAATAACTCCATTAAATTTTATATCCCACCTGGTATAGATCTAATTGACGACACTAAAACTAAAACACCCATCAATTCATGTTCTCACTAATAAAAAAATCAAACAAGGAGCAAAACAGCACATACACACATGAATCAAGACCCAAACACCATCGAAAATGACAATTAACAAAACCAAAAGTGGATTCAATCTACGTCAGCGCAACTCATGTAAACCTTGAGCTGTTCTTATATACTCTCTGTTTCAATTTAGATAAATCTATTACTATTTGGGGGAATCAAACAAGGTTTACTTTGACCACGTATTTTGCATAAATTATTTAAATATTTTAAATTGATAACTATTTTGACTTATATACTTTTTATATAGTTCCTATAAATATGTAGATTTTATTTCAAAATTTTTGAAAATTCCATGTCTAAATTCACACCGAAAATTAGTTAGTTTGACCCTCCTACCAGACCGAAAAGGTTAACATGGAAGGAATATAAGATTTTGACCCCATTATAAACAAAACTAAACTTACCCTAAAGAGGATAAATTGAGATCTAGTCATCTAATAAACAACTCAAACAAATTACTTGAAGAATTAACAAAAAAAATACTTGAAAGTTCATTAGGGCCTCGATCAATATCACTCCATGGAAAAACACATAATAATTAAAAAAAATCAATTAAGCAACACATAAACACATGAATTAAGATCCAAACACGATCTAAATTAACGTATTAACACAACAAAAATGGATTAATAGGAGAATAAAAGAGTGAAGAATTGGTACCTTGAAAGTTTTTTGGGAATCGGAAAATGAGAGAATAGATAGCTTTGTTGGAGAAGGAAACTGTGATCAACAATTGAGGAGAGAAGAACGAAAGGAAGAGAAAGGAATTAGCCCTTTATATAGCAGCTGATGGCCGACCCTAGACCTATAAAATATCGGAATATCGCCACTTTCTTTTCGGTGAAAGTTTGGTAAACCACTAAATAATTTTATTATATTTTATTTTTCTACAACCACTAATAATTATCCATTAGGAGTATAATTTATTGATTAGGAGACAAGTTCCACTAATAAATAATACTAACTTATAAAAATTGACTGGACACGAACATTATGCTTTAAGTATGTCTTAATAAAAATTAATATATTAAGATATAAATAAAAAGAATAATGAATTCATAATTTATATTAGATATATTTATTTATAAAAGTCTTGAGAAATTCATAAACAATATATTATTCTACTATTTAAATTAACGGTGTCGACAAAAGAAGTATCAAAGAGCCACTTGTAAAGTTGTACAATATTTTGGCAAGTTGGACTTGTTCATTAATTTTTTAAATAAAAACTAGGACAGATAATTTGAGGAACTTGTACAGCTTTCTATTCTTCTATTCCTCATTGCTAATTTATTAATATTGAGGATATTGATAAGTTTGGCCGATTCGCGAAGCTGATTCTATTATATAGAAAAGGCTTGTTTGGTCGACCAAGGGCATAAATGACATTTGCTCTGCCATTAATTATTTAGGTATAAAACCGCTTTATTTCCTTCACAATATATCTGACACAAATTCTAGAACTCTCCCTATCTTTCTGAAGCACTGCTCTCTTAGTATATCCGTTCTTCTCTAATTTCAGGTAAGCCCTCAATTTTGATTTAATCTTTTCTACTTCTTTTCAAAAATTTATCGGTATTACGCTGAAAATAATTGTTGCTGTTATTATTCATTTTAACTTTCTCTTCTATATCCTTGTTCATCCCATATTCTAAAGAAAAGTGAATTAGTGAAGGTCTTATTTTGGGCAAATTAGTTTCTAGGTCTTGTGCAATTTCGCGAATTTCAGACTGCTTTGCGAATTTTTGGTTACTATTCGGTAAAGAATATCTGGTATTGTGCAAGACTGAATTTTAGGGAAACAAATGCTGCTAAATTTCATGTCACTCTCTTCAAATATCCGCTGCTCATCAGGTATCTCTTTTAGGCCTTGTTCTCTGGTGATACGCTTATTGCTCAACTTCAGAGTTCTCCTTCGCTTCTTACAAGTATCATCTCTCTATTTTGGAGTGTTTCTCAACTCTCTTATGTACTTTTTCTGTTCTTCAGGCCGCTTAGTTTATTTAATGGTAAATATTTTTAGGATTCTCACCTTAAGGTATTCTTAAATTAGAGATCAAAATCTATAGTCTCTAGATTTCTCATATATGTCTTTATTGGACACATGTGACATGCTAAATCTTATCCGAAAGAATGAAAGTGGACGACCAGCAATTAATGGAAGCATGGGCGGATTTTTATTGAGTGAAGCGGTGTCACGTGACACCGCTTCGTCGGAAAAATTAAGTAAATATATGTGTCAAAATGATATCTGAACATTAAATTGTTTGAAATAATTTAGGTGACACCACTGGAAACATAAGCATTCTCCAGCGCAGTGGTAAAATCTGCAATCTTGTTTCAAGAAGATCCCGAGTTCGATCCTCTAAGCTGAATAATTTTGTTTGTTTTTTTTTTATTAATTTTAGCACATGCCAACAAATATTCATATCTTTGCACAAATTACAGACATTATGATGCTCACCTATACCACTTACATATAAACAATAATGTGTAAGTGGTATGATATCTTTAGTATTATATGAATGCGCATGTGACTGTGACTGTTTTAAACTATTCTTTGTATTTAAAGGAGTTACATTTCCCATGCACTTGGTGTATCATTATGCTACCATCAAAACAAGTGATGTCCGAAATCTTAGTGGTATGTATCTTTTCATTAGTTTGCAAAATCTTGATTATTAATGTTGTGGCTTACTAGAACGATCAACAGTTGTATTGGCAATCCCCATCACACCAATGCTGCTTTCCTTGCCTTTTTTTTCCTAATGTATTTATCTAGGAATACCTTTATTGCTTGTTTGCTTGCTTTCTTTCTTTCTTTCTTTCTTTCTTGTTCTCTGCTTTTTGTACATTGGACCCTATTATAGGTTGCTAAATATGTTAAGTTTGCTAATGAAGTCTTTCATGACTTCTTCTAATGTCTTATGGTGTAATGCTATCTAGAGGTGTGACATATACCTTGCTACAAGTCTAACCTCATTGGATTATTAAACATCATATAATGATTTTTAGTTGATTTCCTAAGACACACATGTGACAAATTCTGGAACTAATTCTCTATGTTGAATATGAACATGTCAATATAGGAGTTTGTTCATCAATATTGTAGTGACATGGTTGAAAACACGGACCATATAGACATTTTAATCAGACAACATTCAACAAATGTTTACATTTAGCCAACTGTTAGTTTTGTTTACCGCAATGTCTAATTAACATATCATCCCGAAATGAAATGGACTAAGATCCCGGATCATGAGAAAAAAAGAAAAGTTCTTATTGTTAGCTCTAGGTTTAATCTTTTTTATTTAGTGTCCGTTATCTTTGAGACATGAGATGCTGTGATCGTTATAAATGAGTTGCGAGTGTATGCTGAATTTCATTAAAGTGCTCTTTAGCTTTAATATTTTTTTTTGTCTCCTTTAGCTTTTGACCCATGAAAGGCTTTGGTCATTTTAAATGAGTAGTTCGCTGGAATATTTTTTGTTGCAGGCATCAAGGATGTTGCTATATTTATTCCTGTAGAACCATGCTGGGATAAGAGTTGCTAAGGTAAATTTTGAAGCTTAGTTAAATAAAATTGGAAATCTTTGTTTACTTTTTTAAATTTCAAGAAGAAATACGTACTATCTTTTCTGTTATATTAGGAAATAGTTTATGATTCCAAATGGATAGCTGCACATATTCATGCTATCTGTTTTAACTATTTTCTTGGTCTATTTTAGCTATCAATCTTCAAACAACACATAAAGAGAAACTGGGCATGCGAAGAAATACAAGAACTGTGTAATGTGTCTGTGCAATAGTAAGATGCTAGCTCAGTAAGATGATTCGATATTTGTTGTTTTTGTACTGATATAATTATGTTATTTTAGTCACCATGTGCCATTCTACAAGCAAGACATCATATGTCTTTGTTTCAGGTCTTTAACCATATTTGGAGGGTAATTTATTCCGTTTACCGCATGTGAAAGTAAATATTGCTTTAGTTATGGCTTCATGCTGATGCAATGTATAGTACTTCACAGTTCCGATCCTATAATAGTTTTTTTCATAGATTTATTTGTAGATTGCTATTTTATTAAATTTTACTGTAACAGAAATGTTAGCATTCTTTCCGATTTCTAAAATATTTATTATTGGCAGATTTTAACTTTCTCTCAATGCCTATAAAACCCTCGCCATTTCAAAATGAAATAACTAAATTTTGGATATGATGCTACAAATTAAGCAAATAAACTAAGATATTCTGTAATGTTTTTTTATGTTTGTGTGTACGCAGCAACATTTAATATTTAGATACAAAGATCAAATTTGCATATGAAGGAAAGAGTAATACATCCTGAATCTTTGTATTTGAGTGTGAAACAATTTTTGTCATGAAACTTGAGGTTACCAAACCATGATTTGATGGGAATTCAGTTTATATTTCCCAATTTATAATGATAAGAAGTCTTTTGGAATTCTTAATACCTGAAAGAAAAGAAAAAACTTTATGCTTGATTTGAAGAGTTTGTGTCCTCTCTCATCTGAGGTAAAATGTGGATAGCAGCAATCTAGGGAAAGCACTTTTAATAATATTTGTGCCACTTTGCTTGGCTGACTTACAAGCCTGTCTAAGGAGCATTTCTCCTTGGCTATTGTTTTAAGCCTGTCTATTATTTTAAGCTCTTAGCTACAAGGCATTTTTCCTTGGTTGTACAATATCTTCCAAGTGTCTTTAAATGAGTTCCATCTATAACTTTCTATCCCCAGAGGTGTCGAAGAACATAACAGCCATAGTTATCTTTCTTCAAACTTTATCTATCGTCTTCTTTTCCCCCTTTGTATCTTTTTCTCTTCTAGGAAAAGCATTAAAAACATACACTACGAATTTTCAGTATAGCATTATCAGAAAAATCTGTTTAAGGGATGATTACTCATTAAAAAATAGGAGAAACTGCCTTTTCCTTATTTTTTTTCTTGAAGGAGCTTATCGTTGTCTATTCTGTTTTTCTACCATTCCTTGCTATTTTGGGTGCCTTTACATAAATGCTTTTATTTCTTCTTAAAAGAAATTTAGTTGCCTAAATTTGTAAACATTGCAAGTACAAGAAACTTTTGTCAAATGCGGACTTGACAAATGGAGGCAAAATTTGCAGAAGACTGTATTCCTAAAATCTTTGGTCCTTCCTTTCAATCAAACGAAGGAAAAATTCTCTTTTAACTACTATTTTCAATTTTATGCAAGCTATATTTGCATCTCATTATTCTTGAAGTGCAGGGTTGAAAGCGGTTACATATTTTTTGCATTCATTCTGAATTTTGATAATTGCATCTATATATTTGGCATAACCTAGAGGTTTCTGCATATAATGTAATGCTACCAAAGCTTCTTTCTTAAAACCTGGATTTGATTATTTCTTGCTTTTTAACTCCTTTCTTTTATCTGCACCTTTTTGTCCTCTTATTGGTCATATCATGTTTCTCTTGTTTTAATCGCCCCTCGTGCTTCTGGTCCTTTTTTTTCCATACAAAAGTATTCTGTATTTATTTATTCAACCTTTTATCCTTTTCTACTAAGAATTCTCTCTTTCAGTTTTACTTTCAACTTTACAGCTTTACATGTTTCTACGTTATGCAGTAGTGAGAAATCTTCTAAATTTTTATTCTTTCAAACATAAAATGTAAAAGCATTCTTACATGGAATTGTTGCTGAGATGGATTTTTTAATCCATAATTACTTATTGATCTTGTTACGAGAAATGGTTACAGATCTAGATGGAACCATTGCTCAATGCAAGATTAATTAGGTATGGAGCTTGCTCAATGCAAGATTAATTAGGTATGGAGCTTGCTTTCAAGAGAAACTGTAGTAAATGGAGAATAGAAAGAACTTTCTCTCTTACACAAATTCTTGAAGAAGTCCGCCCATGTACGTAGTGATGTAACAAACCTGATTCTGTTAAATGGAATAGAAGTACCTATGGTTTTTTCTCAGTTGTTGAAGTCCGTTCTTTTCAAAAAGTACTGGCGCATCTGAAACAAGAACTTGCAGGTGTATTTGGAAGAGCAAACAGCACCAAAGTTGATCTTATTGGAGTGGACTATACATGTCATAATGACCTAACTCGAGCAAACCTCCCACGTGCTGGTGAAATCATATTCTTAAGATGTTAGGTGTGCTTAGAGGAAGCTGAAGACCTTTTGTTCTTCCATGTACCATTGTTTCTTAGCTTTATTGCATGTTCTTGGATTATAGAAGTAACCATAGCTGGATGGGCAAGAAAGTAAAGAACATCTCAGAAATGTATGGAATATAATTCCGACCTGCATTTTTTAAGTAGTTTTATGTGCAATAAAACTTTGTATTTACCTACCAAAAGAAAATCATGAAACTCTTAAGAATGTGTTGAGCAAGTGATTATATTTTTTCAGGGAAGTTGACCCATCACATATTTCGTTAATTCTTTCTACGTTATTGTAGTTTTTCAGTTTGGTATCTTTTGTTGGGCAAAAGAAGGCAAATGACCATCCCACTTTGGAAAAGAAATATGCATAGCTAAACAAAAAGAATATAAAATCCGAACAGTTCTAAAATCTTATTCAAGACTTGCAACGTTGGGCCCGCGAGTGCGGGCCTGCCTCATCTAGTATTACTAAAATTTGTGAAACTAGTATAGGCTAGTCGGTTTTTGGTAGGGATGGCAATAAGGTGGGGTGGGCGAATTTAGGCCTATGTGAGGCAGGGCGACTTGAAATAAATTTTTTTTAAATTCTAGCGGTTCCGAGGCGGTTGCGGATGAAAATCTATTTCTTCTAGTACACGCTAAATACAAAACTGAAGTTGCATAATCTATTCTTTCTATTTACAATTAACTTTTATAAGGGCCTGCTACCTAATTGCTAAAACCAAAGGAAAACATGTTACGAGGCTACAATGATGGAAAATAACAAATTTGCTATAATATATTTCAATAATTTGATTCGACGACTGCAAATAGATGACATAGAGTAATTTCTGATTGTTATTCCATGAAGACTAGTATTATTTCTGAATTTTCAAACTAAACTCTTTATTTATTTAAGCAACCATAAAAATGCCCAATGTGAATCCAAAAGTAGATATCTCGGCAGTTAAAAAGTACTCCTTCCATTTCACTTTATATGACTTGATTTAGAGTCAAATTACCTAATTTTCATTATGAACTCAAATACAAAATCTTTAAAAATTTAAAAATAAAACTTACATAAAAAAAATACAAATATAACAAAGTTACAATAGTTAACAATTTAAAATATTTGAAAGTATTTGAAAAATTTGTGGTAAAAAAATTCCTTTCACTCTCCAAATATAACTAGATTACGTAAAATAGAATAAAAAGAGTAGTTTCTAAGGTATATCCCCTACAACACTACATTTAGTTGAATTTTTAATGTTTGATTGAGTATAAAAGTAATTAACATATGTATGGTATATATAAATGGAGCATTATAGAAGATAAGTGTTCTAGTGGTATTTTTTAGTATTATGGTTCACAATCAATCTTTATATTGACTGAAAAAAATTAAATATGGCATAATAGTTTGAATATTTTTATAGGAGAATGATAATCAACAAATTCTTTTTTGTTAGACACACGTTGTTTAGAAGGAAACAAAACAAAAAAAAAAAAAAAACGAAAAGCAAAGAAGAAATACAGGAAAAAAAAAAAGGAAAAAAAAAACTTGATGCGGGGCAGGGCGGGTTGAAAGTTTTGCGGGTTCAGCCAAAACCGCCCCATTGCCATTCTTAGTTTTTGGACTGATAATCAAAAAATAGCCAACATTTGTAAAGTCATTGAAAAATAGTCATTATTTTAGTTGAAATACAAAAAGTTCCCGCACAACATGATGGATTATAGAGCTTCTGTGTATATTGGAACTCCAGCATATTATGAAATTCTATCACATTATGCTGGAATCTCGTATGTAAATTCGAACTCCAGCGTATTATGCTAGAATTTTTTCGAATTTTTAAGGGTGTTTTTGTTAAGATTACTTATGAAATTGTGGCTATTTAACAATTACCAGCTGTAAATTAGGCTATTTCTGATTTTTTTTCCCCCTAAAATTTCACCAAATAATTTAAAATTTTCATCTTTGGGTCTTTTTTGATTGTACTCTTACTTCTACTCTTACTTATTTTGATTGTTAGACCCGAATGAGACATTGGATCGACTATCCTTCTGTCACAACCCAATTTCATTATAGGCCGTGATGGCGCCCAACGTCGCCGTTAGGCAAGCCAACAGTGATCTCACCATTTAATTGTTCATTTATTATTTTTAAAGTAACTGATTTTTAGTTAATGAGGTACAGTCAAATTTCTCTATAACATCCTCGTTTGTTCCGAATATTTTTGGATGTTATATCGAATTGTTGTTATAGAGAACATATATTATAACAAAACATGACATTTGGTTCCGAAAAAACTTGCCTTTTATATTGAAGTGCTGTTATATAAGGATGCTGTAATAGACAGGTCTGACTGTAGTTATTAATAAGAAATTATAGTAAAACCAAGCATCAAATAAAGAAAAGAGTAAGGTAGTGAATTTAATACCCAAAATGATGAAATGTCTACTAGAATACTCCGAAATTCGGTGTCACAAGTGCATGAGCAAAGTAGAAGAATATACAAAACCTCATACTCTACTGTCTGGAATAAGATAGACAGAAAATAAAATACAGTAAGGATAGACTCCGGGTGCTGCGGAATGGCATAAAGAGCAGCTCACCATTAGGCCTCTAGGTAATGGGGGTACGCGCCTATAGGACCGCCAAATGCACCTACCTCAGTTCCTGCACGATTGGTGCAGAAGTGTATCGTGAGTACATAAACAACATGTACCCAGTAAGTATCTAGTCTAACCTTAAATAAGTAGTGACGAGGGGTGATCACGCCCAACTATGCCTTATAAAAAGGACTAAGCGGTCGTTGCAAATATATAATCTGGTTCAGTCCGGAGTCGAATCCCACAGGGAACTAACCTATTACTACAACTTTTACCATTGCTAATGACAAGTTCAAACAATTTTCGGATGCAAGATTTTTGATGGATAATGAGTAGAATTTAGTTAACTAAGGAAAAATAGCAATGAAACTAGCAATAATCTAGAATAGAGTTGAATTCAATGGTAAAAATGGTCTAGGGTTATTAATTTTCCCAATTGCTGGATTAATTCCTGACACGTTAGCTATAATTTCGTCATAACACTCTATAAGAAATATGAGTTCTGGGTTACCGCAATTATCTCTCGATCAATTATGATAATTTACTAGAAGCATTCTCTCGAACTACTCTAGCTAACAATTTATGCAACTCAGAACGATTCCACCAAAGCTTCGTTATCTCTAACCGTGCTTTTAAATTCAAGTAATTAATCTCTTAACTTACCCGAAAGTGGTATTGTTAAACAACAATCTAACCAAGTGTCCTTTCTCAAGCAACACAAGATAACTAGACACGATTAATCAAGGGCCTTTTAATTAATCACAAAACAATACGTAGTTGAACAATTATAGAGTAAAAACGGCTCAATTATATCAAAACATGGTCAAGACTTCATCCAACAATTGGTTCCATCAATCCTAGATGACGGGTTTAGCTACTCATACTAATAGATGAAAACTCAAAAAATAAAGTCATAATCAACAATTAAAAAAGAAGAATAAAACTCTAAGGAAAATTCTATGTCTTTCTTCCGTGTTCTTGCCTTCAAAATCTCTCTAAAAGCAGCTATCTCTCTCTTTAGGACGAATTAGGCTTCATATAGGTTTAGGTTAGTCGCCCTGGAAATTACATAATTGACCCTGGCTTCTTGGCTCCAGTCTGCCCGTCCGCGGCCGCGGATTGGACCGCGGATGGACCACGAATTTGACAATTGTTCTGTCTGCGGTCGCGGATTTGACCACGGAGCTGGGCGCGGAGCAGGTACTTGCTCTTCTTTCTCCTTTTCGATCGGGCTATCCTCCGATTGGCCTTCCATGCTCCATATTGACTCCAAAACACCCGTTTAGCTTCCTCCTAGCTCGGAGTGGCTCCTGCAAAACGTAAAACTCTTAATTAGAGCATTTTGTTATCTTTTACATTCAAACATTGATAAAGTGCAGCCAAATTAGAGTTTAAATAGTATCTAAATAGCATAATTATCGTCTACTATCAACACCACACACTTAAACCTTTGCTCGTCCTCGAGCAATCAAACCACACCCTACAGAGGCCTAACTTGCTCGAGCGACTTCTCTAACTCGTCACACCAAGAATATTCCTCATAGATTGAGCACATTAGTGTAACATCCACACCTCAAGAGTTGACTCCCGCGAGCCACGCAATATTCCTAACCGGCTTACTTACCCTAACTCAGAGGTCCAAACTTACCTCTCCTTCATGAATCAAGTGCCTGCTCACAACTGTGAGCACGTGATTTTTGCCCTATATGAATTACTCCCAGAAATTCAAACAAAATGATTTCTTTCATTATTTTGCAATTTTGTGAATTTTTTGCTACATTTTTGTGTTAATTGGTTGCATAATAATTCATATTAAAAATACAAAATATGCATTTTGCATTAGGAATTTAATTTCACATTTTTAGGTATGGATTTGTTTAGAATAAAAATTAAAGAAAATCACAAAAAATAGATTCATTTGCACTTTTAATTGTTAATTGTTGCATTTATCTTTTAAGTAGAATTTTAAGTAATTTTAGAATTTGAATAGTTTAATCTCGAATTTTATTAAGTATTGGTTTTAATTTTACATTTTATAGAATCGGAAAAATAATACAAAAAATACAAGATGAAAAGAAAAAAAAAAACAACCAAAAGGAAATAAAAGGAAAATGTGGCCTTGGGTAATAGACCCAAATTGGGCCGTTCTTATTGAAAGTCTGCTGGCCCAATTCGTGTTGTCAACCAATTAGTCCCCTACCCGGTCCAGTTATTCACCGCATAAAACGGCCCCGTTTCGTTACCCCTTCATCTGAGCCGTTAAACTTGTTTGATCCAACGGCTCCCGTTGAGCATTACGTTGTAATAAAATTGTCTGAAAGATTCATTTAGCCCTAAAATTGTTCCCGTCTTCCTCGTACAGAGCCTGTAACACCGCCGGAGCCGCCGCTGGCGGTGAACGCCACCTATGCCAACGGCCCTCAAATTCACACCACCGGTTCGTCTCGTTCCCCTCTTCCCATTCTTACCATTGTTTCCCCTCGAATCTTGCCCTATCTCGTCGAATATCCCGTCAAACATTTTCCGGCCATGACACAAGTTATGCCAAATGGCCCCAAATTCACACCACAGAACCGCCCAGGCCTCCTCTACCCAACCCCCATAACCATATGTCTCGAATATAGCTGGAGTTGCTCGAATCTCGAAAAGAAAGTTTCCGGCCAAA